TCAATCAATCAATCAATCAATCAATAAACAAATAAAGTGGCCCACTAGGAAAAGACTGTATTAGGATGATTACAAGGTTACTTTTTACCTTCTGCTGTTCAGTTCCATGCAGGAGGAAGAAACCAGATTATTAAGAGCTAAAGAACCAACAGGCAAGAGGAATGGGAGAAGCTCCAGCTCACATGGCATCCTTCCGTGAAGAGTTCCGCAGGCGGAATTGGCGCGTCTTCATTCCTGTTCCCATAGCAGTTTGTAAACAGCGCTAGAATCATAACCATAACCACAATCATAACACCTATCATTTGTTGAGCACCGGTCACTAATATGTAGTGTCATTCTCTCTTATCTTTGATGCATCTCTGCAATGCCAAATTATAACGGGAGTTATCACTCCCATTTTGCAGATAAGGCCACTGAGGACTAGGGAAGTCCAAAGAAATGTATTAACCCACCAGGTGGAACATTTTGAAGCTGAGGTTTGAACGGGAGTACAACTGATGTCAAAGGCCAGTTCTAGCTGTTTCCCACATTGTCTCCTCCTTTTCACAGGTGATGTGAACTAGTGATTTAAATGTTCGGCTCCCTGACTGGACCGAGAAATCCAGGGACCAGAGACACGAGCTTGCGTACATACAGCACGTGTCCCCGGTAATCACACGAGGGCTGACACGCAGTGAGCACTACTTGCTCATCAGAAGACGTGAATGAATGAACAAACGAGGGCGCTCTTACTTTTTGAATATTCAAGAGAGGCACCACATCTGGGCTTCTGCCTGACAGTGGTCGCAACATAAATCCTGTTACTGATCTTGTGTCATAGGATCTTGATAAATTCATTTTTTAAGCTTTTTGTAGATTTCTCGGGTTTTTAAGCTTTTTGTAGATTTCTCGGGTTTTCTACACAAACAATCATGTCATCTACAAATAAAAAGAGTTTACTTCCTCCTTTCCAATATCAATAGTTCATTACCCCTAGTTCCTTCTTTTGCACTGTTGTGCAGTCTACAAACCCATTCTTTGGAATATGACTTCTGTAAATATTTGGGGATTTCCTAGGATTTCTATGTTAGGGTAATATCTAAGCTGAAGTAACAAAAACAACCCAAATTGGAATTGTCCAAATAAAATGGAGATGTATTTCCTCTGATGCAGCCCTCGGGCCGGTCCGGGCGGAGGAAGTCACATGCGTTCCCTGGGGATGCTGTTGCCCAGGCTGCTGTTCCCGTCTGCGTGACCCATGCTGGCGTCCGATGTCCGCCGTCCAGGCTCGGGAAGGTGGGAGAAGAAGTCCAGATCTAACAATGTCCTGTTAGGACAGCAGAGCGAAATTGCCCGACCCCTTCTGCTCACGTTTTATTGGTTATATATAGCTGGTAGGGAAGCTGGACTATGTCACCTCTAGCCGGCCCGCTACGAAAAGGTAGGGAAAAAAATCAGGAGTACTTCTAGACTGCCATTGTCTCCAAAAGCAAATGCAGTAATACTTATCTTATCTAATGGTCAGACTTCTGATCAACATCCAGGAAAAAAAAAAATCATGACCCTATCCGGTACGTGAAAACCACAGCCAGTCCCCATCCAGGTCTCTACCCCAGATGGGAAGGGAGGAGGTACCCCGCTTCTAGAGCACACTGACTTAGCACTGTGAGCAAAGCTGGGCACTAAAGAGCCAGCCTGCCGCTGTGCCACCCCCTCCCCCCCCCCAGCATGCTTGTTTCTCCTAGGCTGCTGCTGGAACGAAATGAAACACATCGAAGACGTGGAAAGGTGAGAGGAGCCACTAGGCACAGACACACGGGCTATAGGACTAAGTGACAGCTGACAGCAGCGTTGGAGACAGAGCACGCCACGTAGAAGGGCACCAGAACCTGGGAGGATTTACTGCAGAGAAAATACCCCTCACACACTCGCGTGTGCTCTGAAGGAAGCACCGTGGGGCTGCCAAGGACAGGAACTGGGCTTCACGAGCGTGAACTGCGTGGAAGTCACACCCAAAAGAGGAGTAGAGGATCCGATATTATCTACGTCCTTTTCATCCCCTTACTCTCCCCGCCTCCCCACGTCTGAAAGCCAATCCTGTGATCACTGTATCCCAATTAAATGAGATTCAAGTGAACATTAATAAAATACCTTTACTAAGAAAAGAAATCTCAAAGGGGGAACCTAAACCTAATGGAACATTTGCTGTGTGATCGACCAAGAAGGTGGAATGGCCCAATAGTTGCAGAAGAAAGTGTTTAGTAGAGTTTATAAAGATATATTAAATAGATAAAATTAAAAGGCTTGCATGCTTTAGGGGCAAATTTTATTTTCCCAGGCAGCCTCATTACCCAATAGAATTATGCAACTCAGGTATACATAAGTTAAACCTCAGGAACTTGATATTTAATAAAGTTTTTTATTCTTTGCTTTTTCATAATTATACAGAGAAAACATATTTGATGACAATGAGAAGGTATTAATGGGTTGGTCATAATAGTGTGTGTGTGTGTTGTTTTATTTGTCAGTTTTCCAAGCTTACAGCTTGAATTTAAGAATATATGTTACTGGAGCAGATTATTCAAACCATTTAAGAATGTCATTTGCACCCTGGCCAGTTTGGCTCAGAGGTTAGATCATCTCCCCCTGACGTCCAGAGAGACTCAGGTTTGGTTCCCGCTAAGGGCATGTACCTCAGTTGCAGTTTGTCCCTGGCCCTGGTTGGGTCGTGCAGGAGGCAGCCACTCAATGTGTCCCTTTCATGTTGATGTCTCTCTCTCTCTCTCTTTCTTTCTCTCTCTCTCTCTCTCTCTCTCTCTCTCTCTCTCTCTCTCTCTCTCTCCCTCTCCCCCTCCCTCCCTCCCACTCTATCTGAACAAAAAATGGAAAAATGTCCTTGGGTGAGGATAAAAAAAAAAAAGAATGTCATTTGCCATCATTATAATAAATTTGTCTAAAGGAGAAAAATGTTAGTACAGATAAGTTATAAGAGGCAATAATCAGAAAACAATTTACATTCGTTTTGAGACTATGTGTCTGTATGTATATCTTTGTCTGATTTCCTGGTATTCCCAGCATGTCAAACAAATAATAGAAAACACTGTCAAGGTCCGACTTGAAAAAAAATTACAAAGCTTCTAGCTTCCCGCTCTTGACCTCAGTAAAATTAAGAACTAAGAGAATTTGGTTTAATTCCATCTAGTAGGGTGTTTTGAACATCTACTATGTTTTGACTAGAGAGTTAAGTAAGAGAAAGCATCTTCAGCCAGCTTCAACCCCCAAGAGGGGGTCTGTCATAGAGACACAGAGCAAGAAGGCACCTGGATCTCAGGGACACAGTATGCAAGACCTAGAGAGCTACCAGAGCGCTCTGCATGGCTGCTTCATCCTTTCCCTCTATTCTGAAGCACTTCCTCTTACTTCTAGACCATGGACAGAAATGAACACGTTAAACATCTACCCAAATAGACTTGCAGTCTCTGAATCACTCTTCCCAAATTGCAGGGTTGGGAGACACACGGGTTCAGTTTAGTTTAGGCTCATCCTGTCAGCTGTGGTTGGTGTGACAAGATCACATGTTTGAAAGGGGCTAAAAGGGAAAGGCCCCTAAAGAGGAGGTAGTTCCCAGACAAAGGACATTATTTAGACGGTGGCAGATAGTCCCTCAATTGTCTTTGTACTTAATATATTTAACTCAGAATAAGCATTGGGAGAACAAAAGAGATGCCTATAGCATAATCTCTGCCTTTTCAAAGGTCACAATCTCATAAACCTACATGTACCTGTGAAGGAGTAAAATTCAGGACTATGATTAAGTACCGAAGCGATGGCTTTGATTCAAAGGGAGCTGGATATAGCGGAACTAGATGGAATTTAAAGCGAAAAGACATAGGTTCAAATCTTCGCTCTGGTTCCAACTCCTGTGTGTCCTTAGACAGGCCACAGATTCTTCATTTGTGGGTCTTCATCTCATTTGTAAAATGTGGGTAATTAAATTCAACTTCAAGGCATTTTGTAGTAATTCAGTGCAGCACCTAACCACTCCACAGCGTGGTGGGATCCAGGTTTGCGTCAATGAGCCTGTGTCGAACCAACCCGGGTGAATCGCTGGACTAGATGTTGGAAACAATTAATTGACACTGGTTGTCCTCGCAGGAATCCGTCCGTTGGGGTGGCAAGGAAACAGAAGCACAGATCATTTCGATAAAATCTAGTACGTTTGTTGGCTATGATTCTGGATATGATTGATCTGCGATTGATCCAGGATTTCACAAAGGGGCTGGGGCATGAGCAAGGGCTTATGCAGGTAGGATGTGAACAGGAACATTGCTTCTCAAAATCGGTTCAAGCCTTGAGCTGAGCTGCTGCAGCTCTGCAAAATGTGGTAGTTCCCATTTTCTCTGCGAAGCTGAGCTAGTCATTTCAAAGACCTCTTCCAAACATGGCTGGGCTTAAATAAAGGAACTAACGGAGTGATATAACTTTTAAGCAGGTTTTTACTTGGTCAAGGAACCTAGAAAATCCACACTGTGGATTATGCATGTATAAGTCATTCAGAGCATGTTTTCCGAGTTCTATGAAAACTAAAATACTCAATGGGAGGAGGGGGAAGTACATCTGATTGAACACTGTAAGATAAAAGAATACATGCCACAACCTAACACTAGATCAGTTTAAACCCACTGTTTTTGCTAGATTAACGGGAAGAAAAATAAAAGAAAGCGATGATACCGGCGTTTGACATTTTCAAGTTGCTGTTTCAGCCCACTGGGCAAGCCTGCCAGCGTGCTTTGCCATCTCAGAACAATTTGTTCACTTAGAAATTCGAGGTGTTTGGGCCAATATAACGAAATGTATTTTGTAGTAGTCATTTTTCTTAATGGAAGTGTTTTCCAGATGTTGCCTAAGTCTAGTCGTCTGGGCTCTCTTCCAATAAATGAGGAAAACTTGATTTCATAGGTTGTCACTGTTGATTTTTTTCTAACCTTTGGACTAAACGGTTCATCCCAATTTATCTGCACTGATATATAAGCCTTCCAGGACACTGGAGAAACTCATCTATCCTCTTACGGGTAAGTGTCCAAGGAAACTTGCTGCGTGGAATTAAACGTGTTTTCAATTCAGTAGGGATAGACTTGGTTAAAGGTATTTGAAAAAGATTTGTAAGGATAGTAGTTGGAAAGTTTTGAAAAAGATCACATTTATGCAATACACCTGTTGGAAGCTTGTAAATTTATATGGAGAGTTAAGGGAAAGTTGGAACAGTAACTCCTGTGTTTATTGAATTACATTTTACTGAAGCTGGTTATTTTTCCCCTCAAGATAAGATTTAAACCTTGCACTGTAAGTACATAGTTTTTATTTGAATAGAGTTTTAAGATCAATTTGTATTCTATTGGGGGGGAATTTTAAAGAATTAAAATGTTCAATAACATGACTGAGATGGTGACTTGATTTCTTCTGCTTAAGATTCAATTCAACGGTCAAATAGGCACTGGAGAATTAATGCTGATTGCTTTAAAAAGTCTAGTTTCAAGAATGGGATGGTTTTACCTTTGAATTGCTTTTTAAACGTGACTGAAACTCTATAAGCAGCTCAGATAACAAAACACTGTATAAGCCAGTGGGGGGATTAAAGTGTAGTTTTCTGATACGTTTCTTCTCTTTTCAGTGATGGCCATGGAGTGGAAAACACTTCCCATTTCCCTGCTGCTGCTGCTTTCTGTTGTCCTGATTCAGCACGTTTCTTCTCAAGGTACCTCGACTACTGAAAAGTGTTTTATTTCACAATTATTGCTAATCATGCAGTTCTGACTCTTATGCCAACAGCAACAAAAAACAGATTTCTAGAAGTGTATATTTGTTTGAGTTTAATGCAGAGTACAACCTTATAATTATGTGAAAATATGTAAGTTTATGAACAGTTTGGAATTCTCACTTTTGTCTACGAAATCTTTCAAGAAGTCTGGAGCTTTTCCTATGGATACTTTTTTGCATTATTCATTGTTCCCGTGGTTCTCTCAAAAGCTAAAAAATATGCAGACATCAATGGCATGATACACTATCATCTGATTAACTGATAAGAACAATATTTAAATCGCATATACATTTTATCTACATGTTTACAAAGAAATGTATCCAATCCTTTACATCAAATAAATTATTGATATATAACTCACTTTGGCATAATGTAGATATAAATATCATGTTGCAATGGACATTTGCAATGCTCGAAGTGGCATTTTATTAATCTTGAAAATGCTCTCTCATTCTAATAAGGACTGTTCATCTGGACCCAGACTTATACAGACACGAATGTCATTTGCTATTAGGTGCATGGTGGTTATGGTGCAATCACATTTATAAAGTAGACATTTCCAGTAAAATAATTACAATGCTCATGAACCTGCGCAAGAAAGATAACTGCCTGCCACGGACATAGTTTCAGAGTCATTTAGATAAGAAAAGACAGGTAATGTACGAAGCCAATACAAACATTTCAAAAGGAATGATGATAGCTCTGGTATCTCCAGACCCTGCCTCTGTCTCGTAATAAAACTACAGGGTTCCCGGCACGGGGTGTGCTGGGTGCTTTTCCTAGTACACCTCTCCTCTGTGACAGTCCACTGTCGCTGCAATGGTTTTACTCTCCTTTAAGGAAATGAATTTGAAAGTAGTTGTTAAAATGAAACGCAATAGGACAGACTTTTAATCTATGAACATAAACTTTTCCTGTAAAGACATTTGATTTCATATTTCAGAAATCTGCTGACTGTAAAGTAACCTTTTGATGTTGTCTTGCCTGCTTTTCTTGCCTTCTCAACCTCTTCCCATTCCCCCTTTTATATATAATATATGTATTTATTTACATACACTATATATGCATTTTTGTGTATTGTGTGCATATGTATGCAAAAACTTCTGAAAGTTTTCCTAATAGTTACTGTTTCATTTGCATTTTAAGATCTTAATTCTCCTGGACTCATCATTTTGAGATTTTTTTCTGGTGTGTTTCAAAGAGCCCTCTATGGATTTAGGACATTGCACCTGCCAATTTCTATTCCAGAGATGGATTCAATTATTATATTTCTGTGGTTATCTCTCAGGGAGGTGTTCAAGGTGTTTTCCAAATGATTTTGAAAATATATTTGAGGATAAGTTTGCTTTTGTTTTATTTCACCCAGAAAAGCTCTGTTCATGACCTTTATATTTATGTCCAGATGCTATTCTGAGAGCTATCCATTTTGCAGTCATTTTACTAGTGGTTGTAAACATCCGACTTCCCCCGAACTTCAAATAATCCAGTTGCCCCCACCCCTAAAACGAAAGGAAGCCCAGGGGAGTTCGTGCTGGCATAACCAGCTCACTTTAAACTCATCATCGAGAATGAGAGGCACTGTGATTGGTAGAAGTGTTCGGGCTTTAGAGTCAGATATATCAGAGTTCAAGTTCTACATGGGCTGTTGATGTAAGATGACCCTATAACTTAGGATTCACATCAGGACTTCTGAGAGTAAAAGAGGTCAATACAAATAATTAACAGGCATTCATTGACCTGCCATACACGTATACTGGGTCTACTCACTAGCTGGGTGCCCTTGAACAAGTTATTACAATTTCAATGTTTCAGCTTCCTTATCTCTAAAAAGAAGCTACTCATACTCTCTTGGCAACATTTTTATAAGCATTTGAGATAATGTATGACTCAGTGCCCAGCACAGAGATGCTCCAATAATGGCAACAATCCATCATCTTAGCAACAGCCTCAGTACACCTGTAGCTGCAACCCTGCTCCCAGGAGGGGGGCAAAACTCTTTGACTCATTTTCAAAAGAGTATTGATCTTCTCAGTCTAGGAAAGAATCAAGTGGGCCTCGTAAAAAAAAAAATCAGGCAAAGATCACATGGACCTATTGCTGATGATCATTCCCAACCTTTTCCAATAGACGAAATATTCTCTCACCAAATGGCTTTTGATCTCGCCCTTTCTGTACGGTGGTGTGGCCATGTTTACATTATATTGTATAATTTTAGATTTATCAAGCTGTGCAGGGAGATGTGGGGAAGGGTATTCTAGAGATGCACCCTGCAACTGTGACTATAACTGTCAACACTACATGGAGTGCTGCCCCGATTTCAAGAGAGTCTGCACTGTGGGTAAGTCCTGAGCTCTGGCGCCTCCTCGGTCAAGCACCTCTGTTCTTGAGAGTCCCTTGCTGTGCTGTGTTCACACTATTTCACTCCTCTTTGCTCAGTTTTCCCTTCACTTGCATAAATGTCGCAGCGTGCTGTACCTAAGGATGGTGTCAAAGCTTGTCACTGCTTGGGGAGGCCAAGGGTGCCTGGAGATCTGTCACTTGCACAAGGTTTTTGACAAGTGCCAAATAAAATGTCTTGTTTTCAGTAGAGACTTAACATTGTGACTCCGGAGTCATTAAATAAATAGCAATGAGATGAAGTTGTTTAGCAATGAGGACCTTCAGACGTTTCACCAGAAGAATCCATGGACATAAAATAATCTTGTCTACTACTTGACTTTTTTTTAATATTAGCATGTTTCTAAATTATCTGAAAATGGCACTTTAAAGATGAAGCATTAGTGTTTAATGACTAGTTTTAAGGAAAACCCAAAGGGTTTGAATTTCCAATGAAGGGTAGTTTATTTGGGGCCATTTTGTTGTTAACCCAGAAACATTTCATATTTAATTTATAAAAAATTATAATAAAAATGTTTTGAAAGTTATATTTGCTGCCCTGGCTGGGTTTTGCTCAGTGGTTAGAGCATCAGCCTGTGGACCCAAGGGTCACAGGTTTGATTCCTGGTCAGGGGCACGTACCTGGGATGCAGATTTGATCCAGCCCCGAGGGAGGTCGTGCAGGAGGCAACCAATCAATGTGTCTCTCTCACATGGTGTTTCTCTCTCTCTCTGTCTCCCTCTCTGCCTTCCACTCTATCTAAAAAGCAATGGAAAAACATCCTCGGGTGAGGATTAAAAAAAAAAAAAAACCCACAAAAAAACAAAGTTATATTTGCTTTAGAATTTGCATATGAAGCTCATAAATATATTGTCGTACAATGTATGTGTTGTGTAATTATTTCAAATAGGCCTAGTTGGAGTCATTGCGCCTCGAACCAAGGCTTTAGTTTTTGCTTTTAATAAGCAGGCCTGTCCGACAAGCCCAGCTCTCAGTGAGGCTGACAGCTTTCAACTGGACTCCTCACCCAGCTTGTCAAAATGATCAATAATGTTGAGCTGAAACATGGACCCACTTCGAATAGCAGCGGTGGGGTCTGGATGTTAAACTAACTAAAATCTATCACAAAGCAGTGGTAATGGATAAAGGAGGGAGGGATTCCGTGGGAAGGGGAATTTACTGCTGAGACATCCCCGTTTTCCATCGTCCAAACGCGTAAACCACGCGGGTAGCACCGGGCTGTCTCTTGGAGCCTTGAAGGGCAAGAAACGCTTCCCCGAGTCCCCATCTCTCTTGACTTGACTGTCTTCCCTTGGGAACCACCCACCCTCCTAACTCGCGGGCTCGAGACGGACCCCGGGAGCCGCGCTCGGCCCTCCGCGGGCGGGCGTGTGGCTGCCTCGTCAATAACCACCACGTTTTGTTTGGCTCCGGGCAGAGCTCTCCTGCAAAGGCCGCTGCTTCGAGTCCTTTGAAAGAGGAAGGGAGTGTGACTGTGACGCCCAGTGCAAGAAGTATGGCAAGTGCTGCTCGGATTACAGCGCCTTCTGCGAGGAAGGTAAGCCCGCCCCGCCGGCCCGCGCGCCCTCTCCAGGTCTTGCTGGAACGAACTGTGGCGCTTTCACGCGGACTGTTTCATGGGGATGGATCGGGGAACGCAGCATCCCCACTGCACCCCGGCTCAGCCAGGCCCGTGCTCGCGTCGCGGGGGGGCGACAGGGGCGTGGCCTGAGGGTAAACGCGTGGATTGGGGTGCATCCGCGCAGCCGGCTCACGGGGTGCTTTCCTGGCCGCCTGAACGGTGCGGACCCCACGGGGCCAGCTGCCCCTGGAGAGGCCGGCACTTCCCACTCGTGTGTTTCAGTGGGCACCGTGGGGGCGACCGGCGCTCAGCTTCTCTGAACTGGCACATGTATGAGTTTCTTTGAGGCACTATATTGACAAGCGAACCTGCCAAGAACGTAACCGTCCATTGTGTGTTCCTTCCCACCCCACAGTCCTCCCAACGCCCTCTCCGGGCCCGCGTGTGACAGGCGGTGGAAAGGGAACGTCCCATCTTAAAACGTCCTCTGGTCGCAGGTCCCGCAGGAGTACCCTGAGGGTGTGATAAAACCCCCCATTTCCCCAGAAAGCCAAGACTTTAAAATAGACTTTAAAAATGGTATATATTTGTTTTATATTTGTTTTGACCAAATGTCCGTTGTTCAAGCCTCCTTTGTCAAAAGGAGTATTTGTGGAAGAGTGGAAATAAGCCCTGCTGGCGTCACGTGACGAGTCTGGTTCACCGGGCTGCGCCTGCGCCCCGGGAGCAGTGGAGGCGGGGCCGGGCTGAGCGGCCGAGCCGGGAGTTCTCGCTGCTCCGTGTTTTCCCTGGAGAGCTTTCCAACGAAAGGAGATGCCGCCCTTGTGATCAAAAGCTCCGGGCACAGACGTCCCGCAGCTTCCACAGGGACCCCCAGCGGGCGGGCCTATTTGCTCGTCTCCCTGGGAGTTGCGTTGGCTGGGAGCCAGGAAACAGTGCACTTGGGGCAGGGGGTGGGTGGGGAGCGGCGCGGTCGGAGCGCCGCGGAGCATCGGAGAAGCTGTGGCTGGGGACAGGCTCCCCGCTACTAAGGGGCGGGTCAGATTGCCCGGGGTGTAAGGAAAGCTCAGTGAAAAGCACTGGTGAAGGGAATGAATGCTACGTGGACAGAATTCACAGGGGTAGTTGGGCTCCCAACGGAAAATAAAGGCACACCCAGAACTTCAGAACTTCTTTTGCAAAGAATAGCAACCCCACTATCTTGTGATGCAGCGCCCAGCTGTTGCAGGATGGCGAGACACTGCCCGTGGGCACCTGTGGCCCCAGCGTCCTCACACCCAGCGCTGCGGGGCTGGGCGCCGGGCTGGGCTGGGCGAGAAAGGCCAGGGGCCCGCGGGCTCGGGCGGGCAGCGCAGTTTCTCTAACGGAGGCGCTTGCGGCCGGTGCTGCGGGGAGGGGGAGGGGGAGGGGGAGGGGGAGGGAGGAGCGGTGGGCAGGAGGCTCCGCAGTGGAGTTCTGAGATGTTCCCTGAGAGAGGCAGGACTCGGCGACTCTCCGCTGCCAAGCTTTCACCACCCCCTCTTTCCTTCCGGTTCCTCACGACCAACCCCTGCCTTCTCCTCCAGACCTGAAAAGCGGTGGGAGGCGGGGTGGCAAAGCGTTGAAGAGAAAGGCATCAAACCATATCAGCTGTTTAACTTGAGGAAGCATAGGGTGAAGCTGTGAGGTTTTTGTTTTTTTTAACAAGAGTCAAATATTCACGGAGAACTTTCGTAATTAAAAAAAAAAAAAGTGAAAGGTAAATCAACATTTATTTTAAAAGAATATGAAAACAAAAAAATGTAATTATTGTATTTCTCATCCACGTGCAGTAATTATTTTGATCACCACAGAAGGCAGGCACAATGGATGGCGTTTATAAACTCCAGTATTTTTTTAGACAAATACTTCCAAAAAGCACCTAGAATAAATATCTCAGTTCGCAAACAAGAAAACGAAGTTCAAAACGAATTCACCCATTTCCCCAAGGCCACCATGGTAGAGCTTGGCAAGTCTAGGACCAGAATTCTTCTGAGCCCTGAGCCTTTGCTCCCCGTCCTAACTCAGAACAGTCTGAGAATCGGTATTTTATAGCAATGCATCTGAGCATTAATTGGTTTGAGGTCACTAGTGTTGGGCCAAAGCCTGTCTACCCTGGTTTTCACCAGCATCCATCTCGAACCCAGAGGCACCCATGGCTTTCAGTAGAGTTGCTGAATATAAACATGTTAACCGACCTGTCTTGCTTGGCCTCAGTGCATAACCCCACATCACCACCATCTTCAAAGACTGCACCTCCACCTGCAAGACCTGAGCCCACCAAATCAACCACCAAACGTTCACCCAAATCAACAAACAAGAAGAAGAATAAGAAAGTTATAGCATCAGAGGAAATAACAGAAGGTAGGAAGATGTAACACAAGGAGGTTTCTGAGATGAAATAACCTGTAGGTGACCGCTTTTATGACTCCTCATAGAACAGGATCATTTTATGAGCCGTTAAAGGCTCATTACACTTTTTGTTTACTTGTTTTAAGTAGAAGTTTAAGCCAAAGTATAAACCTCAGATATTTATTTTCCTTATTCACTGAACCCAGTATGGGTCTAGGTTAAAATAATCAGAATAAAGAAGTCTTAATGTTAGGACTATGATTTTTATATTTTATTTTTTGAAGAATAGATTCTGTGAGATATGAAAGTTATAGTTACATTGCTAATATCTATGATAAGCTCAGGTATCTTTCTTTTAACTGACCATTAAATTAGAAGGGCAGTTGATCATGTTAGTGATAAAATCAGAACACAGACATTTATCGATTAGTAAATGGCATTTCTTGTTGCATTTGGACTGGCGGTTCTTTTTTGCTTTAAATCACAATTGGTGTGATCAACCTTTTTATTTGATTTATAGAACATTCTATTTCTGAAAATCAAGAGTCTTCCTCCTCTTCTTCCTCTTCCTCTTCAAGTATTCGGAAAGTCAAGTCTTCCAAAAATTCAGCTAATAAAGGATTAAAGAAGAAACCCAAAGGTTTGAGCATTGATAAAGATCAAAGACTATATCAATGCCATAATTACCTAAAAGTCATGCGTGTTGGTAGAGTGATTTGAGGATGTTTCGATATGGGGGCTGGGAGGTGGGGAATAACTTTAAAGAAGTTACTTTAGAAGGTACCAAAGCAAACTTCCTATAGGACATGAGTACCAAGTGGTTGAGAAACCTACTAAAGACAAGGCTAAGAAGATGCTGTAGCAGTCACTGTGGAACCACAGGATGGCGCCAAAGATGACTATGATTTTCTATTTCAGTTCCTTCCTACCTGACATCATTTCTTTCTTCTTCTTCTTCTTCCTGTATCTTCCTTGTGTTTTCACTTTTCCTTCCCCGGACTTTTTATTTTATTTAACTAACACTTACATGCTGCTTTACGTACTGCTCTTAAATGTTAATTTATTCAATTCTCATACCCCTTTCTGGGAAAGGCAATATTATTCTCCACATTTTACAGATCCTCTTTATTGTTTTCCTACTGAATTGGATGTCATATCTGGCTGTTTTTTCTGTAGTAGAAAATGTGCTACAGAGTAGGCTATTATCTCTGAAAAGAGGTTCCCTTTGTTCTGCTTTTTACTTCCTGAAATTCTAAACTACATTCTCTTTCTCTAGGAAATGCTGGATTTTGGATATTGGAGTTTTAAAGAACTATTTCCTGGGTGGTTGTGCCTTCCCCGAAGCCTTCTCTCTAGCTGAATAGCCAGATATTAATCTTTGAGTCATCCACAGAGTCCTGCACACAATGGAAGTGCAACATGTTTGCTCATTGAAACCCACCTGCCATGTGCCCCTGGGGCTCTGTAATTCACCCAGCGGGAGCTGCTGTGGCAAATCCTGTCAAATAGGGTCTTTTTGCTGCCATGGTATCGAATCTCCATTCTATACCCCCTGGGACTGGGCAGGGGAAAAAGAACAGCTAACAGCCCTGGTGTGGACACAGGGCTCAGCCGAGACCATGGGGGTGACTGGGGCATCCTTGGATGTAGTTGTAGAGGCCTCTCAGCTGACTGATGCAGTGAACCTACAAGATGTTGAACGAGGAGGTTTCCAGGAGGAAGGACAGGGCACTGAGCAATGAGGAATGAGAAGTGGAGAAAGGGAAGGCCAGGGAGCTTGAATGTAAAGAGATGAATTAGTGTTATTGATCATGTGGGTAATTTCAAATTTGCCACTTGTTTCCACATATTAATTGTATCGTTTTACTAGTGCTGTTCACCCCACCCCTTATCTCATTTATTCCCTAAAATAGCCCAATAAGATAGGTTGAGTATTTAACATTTTATAATGAATTCACAGACATATTAGAGATTAGCAACCTGCCTAGAGACACATAGCTAGTCAGCGATAAGGGACCTTTTTATCATTATTAAAAACAAAACCATAAACTACTGAAAAATAAAAGATATCTATTTTTTCTCTAGTAAAAAATAACAACAAGAAACAAACTCCTAAAAAGAAACCTGCCCCGGAACCATCAGATGAAACCGGAAGTGGAGCAGACAATGGCGATCCGAAGCCCACACCAACTCCTCAAAAGTCTACCACCCAAAGTAGTCAAGTTACCACAACTTCCAAGGTCACAACAGTGAAAACAACAAGTCCTAAACCCAGTCCATCGCCTAGTTCTGAAACATCCAAAGAAGCATCTTTGACAGTCAATAAGGAGACAAAAGTTGAAACTAAAGAGACTTCTAAAACAACTAAAGAGACAGCAGCTAGTGTATCAAAGAAATCGACTTCAGGTAAAGAGACACGAAATGCAGAAAAAACATCTGATAAAGATTTGGAAACCACATCAGTTTCTGCTAAATCTACAACCGAAGCTGAAACTACAACCAAATCTCTTACCACCACCACCACCACCACCAAGGAGCCTACAACCACCCCCAAGAAGCCTGCACCCACCACCCCCAAGGAGCCTACAACCACCCCCAAGAAGCCTGCACCCACCACCCCCAAGGAGCCTACAACCACCCCCAAGAAGCCTGCACCCACCACCCCCAAGGAGCCCGCTCCCACCACCCCCAAGGAGCCCGCTCCCACCACCCCCAAGGAGCCCGCACCCACCACCCCCAAGGAGCCCGCTCCCACCACCCCCAAGGAGCCCGCTCCCACCCCCCCCAAGGAGCCCGCTCCCACCACCCCCAAGGAGCCTGCACCCACCCCCCCCAAGGAGCCCGCTCCCACCACCCCCAAGGAGCCCGCTCCCACCACCCCCAAGGAGCCCGCACCCACTCCCCCCAAGGAGCCCGCACCCACCACCCCCAAGGAGCCCGCACCCACCACCCCCAAGGAGCCCGCTCCCACCCCCTCCAAGGAGCCTGCTCCAACTACAGAGGACTATACTCCAGCTACCACCATGGAGCCTCCCACTCCTCCCACAAACCCCGCTGATTCATCTCCTGACTTTCCTGTGGAACCCACATCAAAGGCTCTTGAAAACAGTCCTAAGGAGCCTGCTCTACCTACAACCAAGGCTCCTGAAGGGACCCAACCTGAAATAACTACCACAGCAAAGGATAAGACAACAGAAAAAGGCATGCATACCACAACTGAAATTACAACAGCTACATCTAAGAGTACGACGAAAGAGACAGCAACTCCAACAGAAGACAAGACCACTGAATCCATACAGGTGACATCCACCACAACCAAGGATACCACAGCAGCGTCCAAAGTTACTCCCAAAGTGATGGCTGCAACAAAAAAGACTACAACTGAAGAGACTGTGAATACATCTAAAGAAACAACTGTATCAGAAGATACAGCTATCAAAGGGATGACTCCTAAACCCCCAAAGCCAACTAAAGCACCCCAAATGTCCACATCTACCAAAAAGCCAAACACAACACCTAAAGTGAGAAAACCAAAGCCTACACCATCTCCTCCAAAGACGACCCCATCAACAGTGCCTACAGTGAACCCTGCCTCTTCGGGGGAGGACGTGCTCCAAACCACCGCCAGCCCTAACCACGACCCTAACTCGGAAGCGGCTGAAGAAAAGCCGGAGAACGAAGACGCCAACGCCGCCGGAGAACAGCCTCGCGTGATCCTCAGGCCCCCTGCACTCACGCCTCTCCTCGTTCCAGGCACTGACATCGTAGTGAGAGGACCCGGGCCAGACACTGGCGTCCACCCCATGCTTTCAGGTAAAGAGAGCGCTTTGTCAGGTTCGTAATGTCAACGTGAATCTACCAGAACCGAGATGCCCTGATTTAATGTCACGTACAACACCTAGAACTGTTAACCGGGGAAGTTTTACATCTTCTCTACAGGTAAGCAGAGGAGTAATCACAGTAAGATTATTTGATCTCTGGAAAATGGAGTAATGACCTAGTCTTAGGAACTTAGTGCATCTGTAAGCAGAGCCAGCATACGGAATGCCAAAAATATTTAGTTGGAAAGTCTATCCTTATTTATTTATTTACTTACTTACTTATTTTGGTACGTGCCCTTAGCGGGAACCGAACCCGGACCCTCTGGTCCGCAGGCCAATGCTCCAACCGCTGAACCAAACCGGCCAGGGCGGAAAGTCTATCCTTAAAAGAAAATACAACATAAAGCAAAATCTGCAATATTATTTTTTACAAACCAATTCCAAAGGGAACTGAAAAATGGAATGTCATGTTGAGATTAAACATCCAATAAATAATAATTTACTTGAAGATCAGGTAACCTGGTACATTCCAATTCATCACTTACTTTTTAAAATTTTATTTTATGGTGGGGGGGCAAGAGAGAGAGAGAAGAGCAGAAACATCAGTGTGTGAACCATCGGTCGGTTGCCTTCCGCATGGTGAAACATGCTACCTGGGTACGTGCTCTGCCTGGAACTGCACCAGCCACCCAACGGAGCTACACTCGCCAGGGCCATCACTTATTTTTATATACTTCTTAAATAGTATCACTTTTCTCTCACCTATGCAACACACACCTCAAACTATATACCCTTCAAGAGCTTAGGAAAGGGCAGAGGAAATGGAGTTCTGTGGGGGGACCTGGAAAAAACCACTTTCTCATTTTGTTTTGTATTGAGTTAACTTCTTGTTAATTTGCTCTAGATGAGACTGACTTATGCAATGGTAAATCGGTAGACGGACTGACTACCCTGGCCAATGGGACATTGGTTGCATTTCGAGGTGAGCTGTGCACACACTTCTGCCTGTCACTTTGTCCTTGGCATTTATGAGAACCAAAGCCACGGCGGTCAGTAGCCGGGGCTGAGCTTCCTGAAGAACCTAATTAATGACCTTACCTCACACAATTTATGAAAACCTGAGATTAATTACCAAAATACTAAATTAACAAAATTAGACATATTAGAGTAACAAACAAAACAAAGAGCTTGAAATGATACTGATTTTTCCTACTGTTAGGAATTAAAAGGTAGTTCATATTTTAATTTCATATCAAATAAAATGACATCAGGATTTGTTTTCCCTGCTCTATTGCATTTGAAAATAACACCCCGATTGTGAAGTACTCAACAGTGTTACACTCTGTGGACGAATCACAGAACAGCAATTACATGTGAATTCTCTGTCCTGACACTAGTTCCGTCTTAGACTCAGACTAAATCTGAAGGGAAGGAAGTCATAGACTTTGCTCAATCGAGGCTGAAGAGATTTTATTCGTTCTTGAGTCATAACTCCTTAATTCTGAAAGATAGAGAAATTAAGAGAAAAGTGATTTCTGTAAGTCACAAAGTCAAAAGGCTCTTCTGGAGAAACTAGATAACTAAACTATTTCTTCAGTTTATGCTACACCTCAGACTTGAGAAAGATCTCCTCTCAGAAATGTCCAAACACTGTTCTGTATGAGTACAGTTCTCTCTAAACTTTCAGTCATAGAATGCTTGCTAACCCATTCAGTGTTTTCAGTACAATTAAAATTTGTTTCATTTTGGTGTCTCTTGTGATGGGTTTTAGTATTCATTCAGCTTGTAGGTTGATTTATCACTTTCAATTTCAGGTCATTATTTCTGGATGCTAAATCCACAAAGTCCACCATCTCCTCCTCGGAGAATTACTGAAGTTTGGGGTATTCCCTCCCCCATCGATACTGTTTTTACTAGGTGCAACTGTGAAGGAAAAACTTTCTTCTTTAAGGTAAGAAAAGTATCTTTGTAAGAGGAATCAGCAAATAGTTATTCTTTTATTATGAAAACATAAATCAGCTTAACCTCTGCTTAAGAATGGTTTAATTTTTTATCCTTACCTGAGGACATTTTTCCATTTTTTGTTCAGATAGAGTGGGAGGGGGAGAGAGAGAGAGAAACATCGATGTGAAAGGGACGCATCGAGTGGTTGCCACCCGCACGATCCAACCAGGGCAGGGGACAAACCGCAACTGAGGTACGTGCCCTTAGTGGGAACCGAATCCGGGCCTCTCTGGACCGGAGGCTGATGCTCTAACCGCTGAGCCAAACCAGCCAGAGCAGAATGGTTTAATATTTTAATAAACTATTCTATCATCAAAATTCAATAAAGAGTTAACACAATTTGGTAACATTAATGGTCAACCTATTCAAACACCTAAATTAAAACTTTCTCCGTATACTTAAATCTATGAATTTCTAACCTTTTCCAAAGCTGTTAACATCACTTCTTCTTTTAAATGATCAGGATTCTCAGTACTGGCGTTTCACCAATGATGTAAAAGATCCTGGGTACCCCAAACAAATTGTAAAGGGATTTGGAGGACTAAATGGAAAAATAGTGGCAGCTCTTTCAGTACCTAAATATAAGGAGAGACCTGAATCTGTGTATTTTTTCAAGAGAGGTATGTATTACATAATTGACAAAAATTATACAATTTTCAATAACTGATTTGCCAGGAAAGTTTTATTTAATATTTTCATTTACTACTGGATTTACTGTCAAAAGATATCTTTAAGGCTGGATCAAATATTTCCAATAAAAAAAAATTGAGGGCACTAAGAAGTATTTAGATCTCTCAACATGCAAATCACAATTTCACCTGAGTTTTCTGGTCGTTGATATAAAGAATGCCATCATTGACTTTCACACAAAGTTAATTATTTCACTATACAGTCTGTTGGCTTTATTCATTCAAGCATTTCAGGGTTTAGTAATTATTTCCATAATGACTAGCAGCCATTACTGTCTAGACACACTTTATGACAAACATTGTTTCTTCCACCTTATAAAAGCTCTTTCCCATCTTTTGGGGGGATTGACATGAACTTTCACTTATACGTGATTTTCTAATACGTACCAGGCGGCAGAATTCAGCAGTACACTTACAGACAGGAGCCCACCAGAAAGTGCACCAGAAGCCGCCCTGCTCTGCACTACCCAGTGTATGCGGAAACCGCGCAGGTCAGGAGACGTCGCTTTGAACGGGCTATCGAGCTGCAGCCACACACCATCAGAATTCACTACTCGCCACCCGTCAGAGTCGTTTACCAAGACAAAGGTAGTGTTTTTTACTCTGTTAAAAATTCTGACACATGAAGTAGATGAAACAGAGTTGCTTATAAAGTAAAGATTATTAACTAGAAATCCGGACCCAACAACCCTAATATTTTAAGCTTATTGATGCAAAATATCAATTTGCCGCAGTGAATGACCAAAGATCAACACTTTCTTTGCCTTTGTGGTAAGAAATGCAGTTTGAATGTTTGTTGATTATAATACATACCATTTATCAAGTATCTCTGACCAAGAGCATTATACACAAATCTGTCACCTTTGAAGCAGTGAAAAGGTCGGTATGCACGCCCCATCAGAGGGCCAAGCCAGGCCCCAGTCAGGGAACACCCAAGGTAAGGAACGGAGCTACCACGTGACCAGACTGGACGTGGACCAGCATGTCCGACTCTAACAGCTGCCCTTTCCACTGCCATCTACGCACAGGCTTCCTCCACAACGAAGTCCAAGTGAGTGCGATGTGGAGAGGACTTCCCAACGTGGTCACTTCAGCGATATCACTGCCCAACGTCAGAAGACCCGACGGCTACGATTACTATGCCTTTTCTAGGGGTGAGTTAAGTAAAATCTTAATAACTTCCCACAGATGTGATCTAATCTCTGAAATACAAATATAATAAAAATAAAAACACAAGTGTTCGATGGGACTGAAGGTGAGAAGTTCAACTATAATACTTATTCTAATTGCCTTGAAGAAGAGAAAGTGTAAAATTTTGGTTTGCTTTCCTATTACATAGAAAGGATTACAACTGAATTCTGCCCTACCCGTCTTTCATGAGATGAAAGTCTATTATGATAAAACTGATTACTTATGTAAAATTGCTACTGAAAACAGTATTTGGCATTTAATGGAGGCCCTGTTTGCCATCAAGTTATACCGAGTTGCATCATTACACACCCCATAAGAGCTGAAATAAGTTCCTGAGAAACTTAATTTTCTTAAATAAATTATATTTCCTGAGACACTTTTCTTTAAAAAATCCAAAAACCTGTTACTCTGCCTATATAAATGACATCAGAATTCTTAAAACAGGATAAAATCCAAGAAAATTATTATTTGAAAAATTAACTTGGTTTTCTCAGATTTTTACTTTGAAAAAGGAGAGTTAAACGTAATTTTCTTCAAAGGTGGAGAAAGGTCAATCTGTCAAGGCAGTTGTTTTTCTTTCTGTCAGAAAGTTCAAATTGATTAGAAACATTTCTGATATTAAAATGATAAACACTGCCTTTGAGTATAATAATCAACATAATCTATTTTTTAATTCAAGTGTTTTGTTTTCCTTTTAGTTAATAAAATGATTTCTCTTCTCTGTAGGTCAACCCTATAACATCGATGTGCCTAGCAGAACAGCAAGAGCCATTACAACTCGTTCTGGGCAGACCTTATCCAAGGCCTGGTACAAATGTCCTTAGACCAATGGACAAAGGAAGAGACAATTAAAATGAAGAATGATAAATTTTGACACTGAAATGTACCTTTTATTAATAAAGAACGTTGAAATAAGCATACCATTTTAAATACAAAAATGTTTTTAAACTCGACAATCATAACACTAAAACAGATTGGACAATCTTATTCACAGTTATTACAATGTATAGAACATTTAATTAATATTTCCTCTATTTATTCCTCCTCTCCCTCCCATTGCATGGCTCACACCTATAAGAGAAAAAAAAAAGAATCAAACTGAATGTATCTTTTAAGAAGATAGTCCAAAACTAGAGTATTTGCTTACTCTAGTTCATTACAAAAATTGTTTTAAAAAACTTAGTGTGAACATTCAAAATCATTAAATTTAGATTAATATTTTTATGACATGAATGCAATCTCTAACAGTTACATTAGAAAACATGGAGATATGAAAGTTTTACCTTTTTTTTACTAGCTAAACAAAGTCACAAAGCTTTATTCTGTTGTATAAAAAGTATAATAGACAAAGATGCACCAAATGACTACATAGCACTTTTCCAAATCTTACTTTGAGTCCAAGGAAGAAAAGAATAAACAGAAGCACATATTCATTACACACCGATGGCATACCTGTCTGTCTACAAGAAGCTTATAGATTAGCAAACATCACACACTCGATGCATAATTATTTAATGAATCCTTGGAACATTTTTAAAAAATGAGATACAAGTTGGAAGCTTAAATAAGGATCAGAGAAGCTGTTCCATTTATTACCGTCCCACACCCTGTCATGTGCTCAGTATGTTAGAAATGTACCTCTCTGTCTGTTAAACTGTCGACCACGAACACCTTGTCTCAACGTTGTCTGAAGTCTTACTCGTCTGAAAGGCTTTGGCTGACTACTGCTAGTATCTGAGAAGAAAAACGTTAAGACATAAGAAAGCAAATTAAAAAAAAAAAAAGGAGAAAGCAGTTACAATGGCAAAAGTAACCATATGAATGCAGGGATAAAATGCAGGGGAATCCATTTGTTTTCAATATTTAAAAAGTTTTTTAACAAGGAATTTTTAACCACCAAAAAAAAAGGTAAAAAAAAATATTTCCTTATTTGAAAAAAAAGTTCTTGATTTTTTCATTCATTCACTCAACTAATTTAAGAAATATTTACTTAGTGCCTGTCTATGTATCATAAACTATGATAAGGCCTGGGGAATACAACAGAAAACAAAAACAGGAAAAAAACAGTCCATTACAATATACTGTGAGTCACATCTGACTCTTCTCTTTTCCAGACACCCCAAATCCAATCGTCTGAAATCCTGCCAGCTCTAATTTAAATAGATATCCCAAATCTGACCTCTTCTCACAACCTTGACTCTACAATCCTGTCTAAAACATCATCATCTTTACCTTAAATCATTGCAATACTCTCAAATATTCTCGTTTCTGTCCACTATTCCTTTTCAGTCTCTTCTCTACACAGAAGCCAAGATGATACTGTTAAGTCTTTAAGTCAGATCATGTCACTGCTGTTTGAAGTTCTCCAAAAACTTCCTTTGTCCATGAAAGTCAACGCAATCACAGTGATCTACTAGATGTACCCTTCCAATACCCATCTACTACCTGCTAGTCTCTCTGTCCTTACTGTAGTCTAGCCACACTGGCCCCCTTGCTGACCTTGAACACATCACACTCCTGCTGGTGGACTCTGCATCTGCTATTTCTCTCATCCTAGAACAGTCTTCCCCCAAATGACTGCACAGCTTCACTCCTGAACCTCTTGTAGGTATTTACTTACATTTCACTTTCTTTTTTTTTCTTTATTGATTTTAGAGAGAGAGGAAGCGAGACGGAAACATCAATGAGAGAGAACATCGACTGGCTGCCTCCTGCATGCCCCCACTGGGGATTGGGCCCACAACCTGAGCATGTACCCTGACTGGGAATCAAACTGGCGACCTCTTGGTGCATGGGTTGACGCTCAAACACTGAGCCACATCGGCTGGGCAAGTGTCACTTTCTTAACAGTGCTTTCTGTGAAATTGCCTGGCACATGGTATTTGTTGACAAAACGGGTAACTGCTCAGATGGGAAAATTTAGTGTTTTATATCATCAAATACATTAAAAGAGATCCACATTGTACCATAAAAGGGAACAGGGATCATATTTTTCCATGCAAGTTCTAATAACTAGTTCCCATTCTTTTGAGAAAAAACAATTCCCATGAGACATCAGAACATAATTGGAGATACCAAACTTCAATAATTATATTATTAGTAATTATGATGGTCATAATTTTTGTAAGGTATCAAGTGATATAATTTATATACATTATTTCTAATCTTGGCTGCAAGATTAATTATTAACATACACATTTCATAATAAAATGTGCAGTGATGTCAAGTGACCAGCCATTAAAGGTGGATGAGATGGGAGACTAAGGGTGTTGGCTATGGGTTGGTGTGTCAGAGAAGCAGCTGATAGGAAAAGAGAATTGAGATGACAACGTTCCATGACTGAAACGTAGTAACTGAGCGTGTCTTCCATAAAACCTGGCAGAACTGAAGAATGACTGCTACATCAATTCAAAATGAAAATAATCAGAGTGGATGGCTGAGCACTGTATTTGTTTAATAATAAAAGTAACTCCCTACCTAAAAACTTTGAGATAGGTAAAAGTTGGTATAATATATTGTTTGGACTCTCTAGAGCCAAACTTTGTGAGCTTGCACTGAGCTTACCCATTCTTCACTAGCTGTGTGACTTTGGAGAAGTTTCCAACCTCTCAGCACCTCAGTTTCCCTAACTATAGAATGGGGATGAGTGCTTACCACATTGGGTTGACGTGAGAATTAAATAAGTAAATATACATAAAGGGCTTAGCATACTGCCTGATATACAGAGTAAGTGTTCATCAAATGTTTTTTAAAAAGTACTGCAGAAATAGTTTTATTGTAGAAAAGAGACAAAATAGATTTTTTTGAAGTAAATTTCAAAAACATGAAAAACCACACTTTGAAACTGTTTCCATTAGTAAATTTCAAACATTTTTTAAGGAAAAGACCCCTTTCCTCTCGGCTCTCTGTATCAGATCTCATGCAGAACCCTAAATTATAGAACAAATAAAAATGGAGTTGCTCTGGTTTAAACAGAGGCAAAAGAGAGCGAGCCTGGAGCACAATTCCTTAGCTTCCCTCCGAGTAACCCACCCCCATGGCCCTTTTAGTACCACTAATACAACCAATTCCCTTTAATATAGACCAAGTTACCTGTAGTGAAATTAATTTTTTTTTAAATAGAGCATTTTAAAATTCAGAAAAAAAGATGACAAAATTGCTACTACATGTGTCTTTTGCAAACAAGTTGTACGTGTGAAGTTACACTGCAGTCAGCAGCAGGCACTTACCTACAGAAGAGCTAGAAGGAGGGTCTTGGCTGGTGGAAGGAAGATCTGACTCATCAGATGCCTGAACAGGCTCTTCTTCCTGCTGGCTATCAATTTCTAGGCCTGCTTCTGAACTAATACTAAGAAGGGAAAGCAAAATGGATTAGAAAATACAAAACTGATTCTAGAGTGTATCCTATCATTTCCAACTCTTTTCCATATAGTTTATCACTTAATGCAAAGCTCTACTACAGCTCTAACTTGTGAACTCTGATGCTGGGAGCCAGATTTTTTTTTAAAGGGGCAGGGGATACGTTGCTTCTTCTTCATTCCTCTTCTCACTAGGACACAGTCCAAATTTAGTTTCCCCCCCCCTCTTTTTTGTTATATTTTTTTCCTTTTGTAAAGGGGCATTTACATTCTTAACATTCACAGGAGATATACTATCCAGATTTTAATAAGTCTCAAATAGTTTCCTAGGAAAGTAGAGTAGTAAAATAATCTACAACGCTCACTCTTAACAACAGACCCCTAACTCAGCAAGGTAGTGCAGATGAGACAGGCTGTGGATAGAGCCCCTGGCTCCATGGCTATAACTCCATCTCTCTCTCTCATTCCAGAAAGCACATCAACAAGCAAGTGAGACGAGAGTATACGAACAGCTTCAATTTGCTCCAGTTTGTTTTATCATCTGCAAACTTTAGTATAGTTATTGGTAACAATGTATCCAAAAGCTTGCTCTCATGATCACGTGATGATGTTGAAAAGCTGATGAGGGGTAAAGGTGTAAAGCCAAAGCACATGGGGCTGAAGTCAGTCACCAGAGATACATGCTCTGACTCCGAGCTTTCTCATCTGTAAAATGAGGATACTTTGCAAAGGTATTGTGTGGGTTAGAAATGACATATGAAGCGACCTGCATACATGGTATGGAATTAATGGTAGTTTGGTATTGATAACCTCCTCAGAATTAAGTAGTGCTGTGTTAGGCATAATAAATAGACCTGTTTGTTTCCTCATATGCTAGAATTGGCCTATAATTACACCAAGAAAATACCATAAATAAAAGCTTTGAGCTCCACCTAGGAAATCAGTGTCTACTCCTACTAGCTATGCTTTTGACCCATGAAGGAGTCCAACTTATTTAGGTTTCACCTTGAAAGTTAAACGTCTCCAAGACCACTTTGTTTATAACAGATGTGTTACAAATGTAGTTAGGTCTTGAAAACTACTAGATAATTTCTAATTTGTATGAAGATTTAAATGCACATAAATAAAGGGTAAGTGAGGTTTACTTGAAAGCCCACTGCTAAATGGAAAGTTGAGCCATGTCCTAATTTTCACAGAAAGACTTCTTTCTTGGGGAAAGTTAAAGCAGCTACATTAATGGAAGGGTACCAGTGATTTTAAAGAAATACTTTGTTCTAGAATAAATATAAAATTTTAAGGGAGCTAACATTTATCTTCTGTAATAACAACTCCCAACTCCCCAATTATTATTATATGCAAAAATTAAGTCTTTCAAAATATATGGCTTGGTTGACTTTTGTAATAGGATGCTGTTGAAAAAACAGCTCAACAGATTGTTTCCTGGCTAAAGGAAAACAAATGAAAAT